ATCATTTTCTTCTTTACTATCAATGCATATCAAGCGTGAAGATTCTGTAAAAATGAGTTCATATAATTTTTCTTCCCGCTCTATTATATACATAACGTCTGGTCATTTCTCTTGTTTTCCTCTTCTATCTGCACTAGCCATACTTTGATGCTTGGCCCTGAATATAAATGAACATTAATTCATAATACCACATGTAACATAGCCTATCAAACTTACATGCTAATAAAAGCTGATTTTCCAATTGGGAGCTTTTTCAGTGCAGAGCGGATAACAGGAACAATTACATCTGTTATGTACGTTCCCTCACTCTGAGATTTAGCATTCTGAGGTTCAAAGGCAGGATTTTTCCAAATGTTACTTCTAAAAGATTAAAAAAAATATTACGGTTAACATGTGGTGATTATAAATTACTAATATAAGAAACACTTACAATATATCTAGAATTTCCTCTGTAACTTGCAGTAAATCCTCTTCTCTCTCCTTCCAAGTGCTGGTATGTGATATCTTTTGTGGAAACTCATCAATATTCTCAATTCTGAAATCTTTTATAAAAGTTTTGCATTTCTCTTGAATAGTTGGTAAAAGCGTTGCTTGCATACGTTGGGCCAGTTTCATAAAACTTTGACGTGCCGTTGGCGTTAAATCTTGTACCAAATCAGAGTCATCACTTATTACCTGACTGGCGAGTGGATTCTGCCATGTTAGATTATCAATATTTACTTTTTCTAATAGTTGACGCATTTCTACGGCAAGCTGGGATGATTTTCCCCATAAAATGGGCATAAACATTCTTAAGTTTTCTGCCTAACTCACTAATATCTATTATAATATTACCTTAAGTTTGGATTTCAACTCACGCATATTTTTTGCGATTTCTTCTCTACTGATAGGACTTTCTATTGTCTTTGAAATCTCAATATCTCTAAGACTGCGAACACCTTCATAAACAACGTCAAACTGGCGCGTGAAAAAAAAATATTATATGTTAGTTTTCGATGATGATATGAAATTTTAATAATGTGAGCTCACATCATCAGAATATTATAACAAAGTTGCCATCTCTGTGTGGCCTACACATTGTAAGCAACTCCGCTTTCCACATATAGACTTCTGAAACTTGCAAGATTAAAGTCAAAGTACCCCTATACGTCCGTGGAATTGAATCCAGTACTAGTCGGCTAATGGATACCCAGGGTTTCCCCACAATTTCTAGGGTTGAATCTGAAAAATTACAGTTGAATGGATCCCCATTGACTAAAGCCTTTACAAGCTCAAAACTCTAATATTGGAAGTGCGCCAATCATCATATGTCATTAAATATTATTTTCATAAAACTTATCAACAAACCTGCATGGAAACCATTAAAAGTTTGTTTTGCGCTAATATATTATTTGAGTAAGTATTTGTTGCTAAATTAACGGCATTATTTACTATATTTCTTAAGGCATCTTGTTTAATCAATGGTTCCTCTTCCATAGCTTGAAAGATAACAGAAAAGGCGGTAATGTGTTCTAACAGAGAGGTAGTAAGAAAATTAAAGATTTTTTCAGATAAGCTGTTAGACATTTTGGTAAAAATATGTAGTTTATTAGATCGTTTAGCTCGATGAAAAATAAAATCAATAGCGAAATCGTAAATTCTATATACAGGCCTTTTATATGCTCCATTCACATCTTCTCTTGTCTTGCATTCATGTTTGGGGAAGAGATAGGAGAATATGCAACAGACCTTTACGCTGAAATTTTGTGTTAGAGAATAAGGGCATGTAGAATGTGCATTGAAGATCTTAACATTTACAAAGGCGCTGGGGGTAAGCATATATATACTTTATTTTCTTTATTTTACTTACCCGATCGCTCAGTAAAGGCCTAGTAGCATTATATAAATATACTCGCGCTTGTCGCTGTCGAAATCTAGTAGGAATAGCCTGTAACTCTGGAGGAAATAAACTCATAAATAAATGCTATTCAGATAGATAGGGAAAAAAATTTGGGATCTATTTCAAAATTAATTTGTCACACAAACAGTCACACAGAGTTACAGATGATTTGCAGAGTATCACCTATTACATCATATATACTTTAACGAGGATCGAAAACGTGCTAATTTATGTCGCACATGCCTACATGCATTGGTTGTAAGGTGCATGGCTGGATATAATATTCGGGATCTGAGGTTAAGGACTGATCTGGAAAATTCGGCGTATAAACTCACAATTATCATCCAAATCTGAGTAATTTACGGTAATATCTTCCCCCTTATAATGATGTATGTATTTTAACGGCGAATCGCATATAGGTTTTAGTAATCCTGATGATTTATTCTCATATGCCTTGTATTCTGAAATTCTGATGAAGAATACAATATTATTTTTTCTATTAATACTATAATATTCAGGATCTCGTGACCATTTTAACATGATAGGCCAATATTCACCTCTAACAAGTATATAGCCTTGCTGATATAATAATCTCTTAACAAGTATGTATGTCACAAAACCTAATCATACCCATAATTGGGCTATCTTCTCAGATATCCAATCATTCCATACTGGATAACAAGGTCCATCATACCCACAACAAATATAATCTGGTCGTATCGATTCATTTTTTATACCTAAAAACTTTTTCTCATTAGAGTACCATCATTTCTTACCACCTCCCAAATTTGGTTTGCCAAAGATTCAGGTCTCTTCTTGTAATTCCTGTAAGCTCGCTGGATAACTGTTGCATAGAAATTCTCAAAACTGATATAGTTATATCGTTTTGCAATCAAGAATCCCCAAGATCACTTCATTAATCTTCCTGAACTTTTTGAAAAAAATATATTATATAATGCATGTCCAATAAATTATGTGAATAGTTATATATCAAGAATGAAATCAGTCATGCTTAATGCTGGTTAAATAAGTTAGACAAACTTGATTACTGTTCCATTTTTCAACCTCATTGCAGTTCCTTTTGGATGATTGAGATTATAGTTTAGGGGTAATAAGTTATTTTGTTTTGCAAAGAGAGAAGAGATATATAGTTCGCTTGTATTACTCTTGCAATTTGGAGCGCTTAGAAAAGCACGTCTCTGTCTAATGCGCCTAATTCTTCTGCTAATATTTTCTAACCATAAAGCATAACTATATAGTTTTTCTTCAGCATAAATGCCAAAATTTTTTAGGATATAGTTATTATCAATTATACTAGTGTATGGTCCTCTGCGCCTGAATTTACCAAATTGATTTATCTGCAAATCATATTGATGGAAGCTCATCCACTTGTCCAATGGGATCCGCTGTTTCATTTCCATGTATTCTTTGAAATTTAGTTTACAAAACCTATTTCCGGTACAAGCAGTAGCCCAATGTTGATACATACCCCAATGTGTTTCATTAAAGCTAATGTCTCTGAATTTCTTAGTTATAAACTTACCCTCCAATGCGTTATAAACACATCTCACACCAACTGACAAGTGTTCTATTCCAAGATATATAAGTTCATTGCATGAGTAACAGATAGCCATTCTACAAAATGGATAGATTTTTTGTCCATCAACAAGATGTGATAATGCTTTGCGAGCATAAAAGCAGTCTTTCTCACCAAATGTATAATATTTTTTATTTCGAAAATACATTAGGCGATCCCAAATCCTATTTCTCCATTCAGACGGAGTTTCATCATCCATAATGAAACATATACCAATATATTCGACATGCTCCTCATAAGTACCCTCAAAACCACCACCTAGTGGAGATTTAATCACACTTGTCATATTAATATACTTGGATATGCACAATAAATAAGACTTATAGCAAATTATAGCGATTTAGTGATTTATAGCTGATTTGGCAATAGTATACTCTAATAAATATCAGATTCATTTTTATTCGAATATTCGATTACAAGCATATTTAGATTTGTAGCCAATTTGAGAGACTACATATTAATAAACCTAAATTCATTTTTTATTAAATTGTAGGGGTTATATAGGGTCATATTTCGGCTAATATTTACATGCATATGCACAGCATCTTCGGCTAAATCAGTTTGTGGTATGATGTACTGTATATTGTATCACATGAGATCTTCTAGATTCCAGGCTGAATATCTTGTTTAAGAGGAGTAGTTTCGTAACTTCTGGCTGAGAGAGACCTTCAATAAATTTTAATTTTTTCTCAGTAAAAAATAATGTGAACATATTTACATGAGATAAAACAAAAAAGAACACCGCTATAGGTCAACTTTTTATTGAATATACTGATACAAACTTTAACAAGAAAAACAAGAATAAAATGCTACTATAAAAATTAAAGCATATGAAAACTACAAATACATGCTAAAATATAATATAATTTCAGTATCTTCAAACGAGAAATTAAATTTTTTAACTGAGTCACTATTGTTTAATGTTCTAATTGTTTCTCAATTTCTCTAATTATTTCTCGATTTCACGAATTCTTTCTTCATTTTTTTGTTTAGATTCTTCAGCATAAACAGTTTGTTCTTTAAAAGCATGAGTAACAGGATGATTTGGACCAATTGCTTCAGAAAGCTTATTTGCAGTTTCTCTCAGATCTTTATCTTGAATAGTACCTCTCTTATAGCAACAATCAACTAACTCTATTAAGAGTTTTCTTTGCTCTTCAGTAGCCATAACGTTCTTATTTGTTATTTAATAATTATTAGTTTGCCAAGAAAATAACAAATGGGTCTGATGTTTCTAATATAAACAAGATTATTAAAAGATCTGGAGTAGTGATGCTTCTGCATGGTAAGGGAGTTTTTATAGTGACAATACACCTCGGTTAAATTATCTCCTTTTAGTTTAATCATTGCGCCTATCTTTTAATTCGCGCAAATCATATATACCAATGCGGAATTTTGTAGTTTTTTATACATCAGCTGATTCCCATTTTTGAGATACTATAAACCATGTAATCCATAATTCCCATGTTTTTCATCACAAATAGGGCATGTTGGCTGAGCTAATACAAATGTAAATGTGATTACATATTCTTAGATACAGTTTTAGAGATTATCTCAAATGAAAGTATAAAACGGGAATCATTTTAGTTGTTCAATTGTTTGCACGCACAATGACGCTATTATGTATTTCTCTCAAATGAAAGTATAAATCGGGAATCATTTAGTTCACTATCATGAGAGTTAATAATCATCTGAATAACACATGTATTGATTTATATTTACATTCGCAAAATACATACATTTTAAAAATCAATCAAAACATTCTTTATTGCAAAGTAATACATGAGAAAGGGAAGTAAAAAATGAAAGTAAAAAATAATAGAGTAGCAGGTTGTTTCAAGGGAGAAATAAAGCATAAATGCCTGCTAAGCCCTAACCCATATATTAGCAGTTCCTTCCCCGCTACTCAGAAGCATAGTGTAATTTTATTATCTATCCAAGCACCTATTTTTTCTAAATTTTCGCTATTTAAATTTTCCCCATTGTAAAAACCCTTTATCGTATCTTTCCCAATTTTTCCCATCCCAAATACAAGAATATCAACCGATACAATAGCACACATCTGGTCCAAAGAATAACCTCTCTCATCCTTAATCCTATCAAAGACTTCCTTAAACTGTACCCAGATTACGGAAATGATATTCGCGAATCTTTGGTTTGAGCCTGCAACCAAAAAATGTTAGTCAAACCCTCTAATATATAATGTATTGATTATCAATAATTATTTTGTTTTTATCTTACCAGAAGAGCTAGAAGAACCGAAAAAGCTTGAAGATGAATTGGTTGAAGAGCCTCGCGAATCAGTTTCAGATTCATTGGTCGAATTAGCTTCAGACACACTTTGTTGGTCAAAATCAGTTCTTGGGATAACTGCATAATGTTGAGCCATATCATTTTGAAGAATTTCAATAGAACTATTGATCGGTGCGAATTTTAACGAAATTTCACAGAAGTTATTATGATGTTGTTCTAGAATTTTTTCGATCTCACTAATTTTGTTTGCTATGGTATTGAGTGATGCCGAAATTCTATTCTTCTCTGAAGAAAAAGCGTTATCACGTGCTTTAATTTCCGCAGTGAAGTTAGAAATTTCATTCTTAATTTTATTAATCTCTGCAGTGAATTTATCGTTAATTTCTGATACACGTGAGTAAAGTTCTTCAGTATTAATTTCTGCAGTATTAATTTCTGCAGTAAGATTTGCACTAATTTCATGCTTAATTTTGCCGACTTCCACAGAAACGGCTGAATCGATTGATTAATAGGCAATTTTAGTGAGTTCATAAGAGATTTTTTGTTTTAGATTTGCCTACATGGTGACGATTCCCACGAATATCGCCAGACCAACGAACAAAAAAACGACAGATAAGGCCAAAAATGACATGGCTTCCGAAGAGTTAAACAATGCTAAACTGGTCATGATTAGGTAAGATATTGCGCAGTAAAATTATTTGTGTTTATTGGTGGATCGAAACAGAATTTTTTAGATAATAACGCTTGACTTTTTTAATAGCAATAGTTATCTTGCGTAAATGTGCTGGAAAAAAGGTTCATTTTATACTTTATTTACACTACACATGAAAATGAGAATTTAACCCAATATAATAAAGTCAAAAAATACGTTACTTATTTTTTCATAATTACGTTTTTTCATCTATAATAACCTGGGTCCGTCTAATAATAAATCTCTTCCTGAATTTAACAATAATGCTTAAAAGAAAATCCGGTGAATTACGGTTTATGATAAATTGATATGCTGTGATTTAATATTAATGGAAAAATAAAGATGAGGCTGTTACCAAGAAATATATTGTTTATCGTTAAGATCACACAAGATCTGGAAGATTGCGCACGTTTTTTGCGTTGTTTAAGCCCCTATTCGTATCCCAATACAAATCCATTAACGACCCGTAAATGGAAATTTGTTTTATTATGTAAAATGTAGGTCCCTTACATTTCAATAGGATCAAGATCTGTAAATCGGTAGATTAAGAGGCGCAATTTCCATTCTTGTCCCATTCTAACATCAGGAATATTAGATTGACTTGTGTAATAATGCTAATTCAAAGATTCGTAATATGTGTGTTACGCTACAAGTTCAGAACTTTCCGGAAAAATAGTCAACCAATTAATTATTCATTGATCTAGCCCCACGATCTGGCTCCATAGATTTGCAAGTTTCACTAATTCACATGACTAATACCAACTGCAGATATAATTTAATGACGTCTTACTGCGCATAGAATATTCTACGGATGTGAACCAGTGATGTATTACTGTGGAGAAGAATAAAACTGTGCACCTAAGCCACCCACATGATTCAAAAAAAAGAAATACATAATTCACTCAATGCGAGTAATTGATTCGCCCAATAATTCTTCTAGACGGTTACCGGAGAGATGGTGGGACTCATTACTGACTAAGGTACGGATCATCAAATATCATGAACTTTCATGAGTATTTTATCATGTGTTTAGTAACGTAACATATTTTTCGCCTGATGCTAAATAACCTAAATTGAAGATAAGGTATTTTGGTATATTATCGTCATGGAACAAACCTATTCTGACACTAGTGCTGGTGATAAAATTGAGATATACGAGTTCTTGGAGGCTTTGGAATTATTAGATAATGAAGTTGTACCCATCAATATGGATGATAATGACAATAACGAATCTGACATCGACAAAGAAGATAGTGATGATGATCAGGATAATTATTAGGACCCTAGGAAAAGATATACCAGATGGGATTATAAAAAACATTTTGGTGAAGATGCTTTGAAAAAACTTTATCAAACCTGGGAAGCTCGTTATCGGAATATTATACTCATAGAATTTACCAGACGTCTTCCAAATATATTTGAGGAAGAAAAAAATAGATTATTCGACGCATTCTCTAGGTCTAATGCATTTGGGGTGAAAGAACATAATGCACTCTTAGATACGTTAGCCGATCCTGTGAAAGGTTGAGATCTTGATAATTATTGAATGGATAATTTCCGGTAGATACGAAAGAATTATTCAATGTTATATGGTAAATGAAAAACCACTTTATTAATACATGCAAAAATAAATACAAATGTTCGGGACCTAACCGTGATACATATTATTTTTTGATAAATTTTTTGATCCTAGCCCTCTTGCTAGTCGGAGAACTATCTACACTAACCTGATCCTTCAACAACCCTACAATTATACTGATTACCTTTTTCACGTTGCTTCGAAGTAATTCAGGATTATCTTTAACTGCGGACTTTGTAAGATTAATCTGATATTCGCTATCGCTTGTGAAGAAGATGCCATTCGGAGTATATATGATAAAATGCCACTCCGTATCTGTGGTCACAATACCATAGATATAGTCGAAATAGTCATTCCCAAACGCTTGATCCAAAGTTCATTTCTTTTTATTGGTCTGGAATGCACTTTCAAGTTGCGCCAGATTCTGAAAAAAAAATAAAATGCTATTAATACTATTGAATCTTCTATAAAGCACGAACGGATAGTAAATTTACCTATGCATATCCGATTTTAATATTACGAGGCTTTCCTTCAGTGATATATAGGAGGTCTTCTAGACTTTTAATTGCGTAGTCTACTCTGCCTGTTGCATCCTCACTGGATATATCTTTCTATAAAACTATAAATATATCTTGGGAGGTAAGTTTTTTAGCTATAGCGATAGATGCATGAAGAATTAATAAAATAAATTCACAGTGTATCGCCTCATTAGTGTCAGTCATAGTTTTCACATTTGAAAGTTTTAATATAATATCTTCCATACAGTGTTTGAATGCCTTATCATCATCACTAATCTTCTCAAAGACTGCAGGCAAAGAAAAATAAGTTAATATATGCAATACTTCAATCTAAAAAATTAAGAGAGTAATCACATATCAGGAGTAAACTGCTTGATGTTTGTTATATCCTTCCTATTGACCTTATTTTTATATAACATTTTTTTCAGGTCATCGAGAGTTTTAAGAGAGGAATAGTTTCTTATTTTTTGGCCAAGACTTTCAATGAATTCTGCGAGAACTGTTGCTAAACCTAACGTGAAGCCAATACTGCAAAAGTTCTCTTTAATTAACTTGAGAAAGGCTAGACCAGAAATTTTCTTTTTACGAAGAATTTTAATATTCATCTTTATCAAGTTTTAAGTTTTTCCTCTCCAAATAATCAATAAGCTTCTCTGTATTAAAATCCTTAATCACGTCTGACATTGTTCTAGTGGAAATTTCTTCCGTTATTGAGGTGGGTGAAGCGGGTGAAGAAGTTTGTAAAGACATGGTTTTTATATATGTAAGTTTGTGCTTGCGAAAAAATATACACTTGACTGCTGTTACAGATAAAGCTAGTTTATGGATATAAAAGTATTTTTGGTTTCTGATGTAAGTGTTCGAGTGGAAAATGATAGATTTTTTGTATCAATTTATAATGCATTTACCCAATATATATGCAATTAAGATGTAATACAGGATTATCAGGTGATTATATTACATCATTACACATGACATTATCAAAGATTTACAACAAGAACATAATACATGCTTTATTTAAATAAAAAAACACTGCCAGAGCATCTAATACATAAAAAATTGTGAATATATCACTACATGATATGCATGAAAGAATTCTAACTATTGAAGGTATATGAGGATAAGAC